TCTGAGAATACAAAGAACGTATTATGTTTACAAACTTCCGGGGCATTCCTTGGTGGGCAAGCGTCTCAAGAAGAACAGACCGGTCAACCGAGTCTAATGCGCCTCGGAAATCCAGGAATACTAGAATCGTGGGTCGCTTATACGTATGGCGTTGTTCTAGCACCTGACGCAGTGTGAGGATTTGGTCAACACAACCGCTACCAGGCCGGAATCCCGCTTGCTACCCTCGAGTCAGTATGTCACGAGCCACCGTAAGGCGACGGGGGTCGCCATAGATAATTTCTCTCTATGGATTGAGTTCACAAGTCACTAACCACAATACACGTTTTATTAGTCAGGCTACTATTTAGTCGAGGTATTGACTCTGTTAAAAACCGTTAGCTTGATGGAACACCTATCCATAAAGTTACAGGGAACTCTTCAACAGCCCGCGATCGGCTTCGCCCTTGCGGGAGCAAACGAGTGTACATCGCCTGTAGACTCCCTGTAACGGCTGTGAATAATGATATCAAGTGAAGATCAGACGCATCATTTCCTAATCATCTCATACTAAAAGGTGAACAAAAGGCCCACTGACCACCTGTTTTTATATCGCGGTTCGGATTTTTGAATTCTTGCTGCTTCCTTGTACAAGTGTCCTATGGCTGAAGAGTGCTCCAAATGGTAACAACATGCACGCATTGTCTTACTTCATATCATCATTCAGGTTGCTACATAGAGTCATGTGGTTGAAGTTCATGTGAGGGGTTTGCCTGTCAACAGCTAGCTAAGGGGAAGCCGGAGCAAATTTTTGAATAACATGAACACCGGTTCCGAACAACAACAACAATGCACAAATTACCGGCAAGAGTAACTGTTGACCAAACCGGTACGTCGGAGGCACAAGGCACATCGTTTTCTTCGCATTGAACTCGATGGAGAATAGGTAGGCCGTGGTGGAGACTTTGGAACTGTCGATGGCTCGCTTTTTCCGGATGTCGTTGGAATTGCGGGAAGAATGGATTTCTCAACGGATGTTGATCTGTTGACCACTGGAAGTTCCCCACTACTCACCAGCGGACGCGGACGCTCTTAAAGAACAGAAATACAACGCATACTAGTAAGAAAAACAATCAAATAAGCTCAATCAAGTGATTCAACCATAGAGTTCTTTCGGGAAATCGCTCCTCATGCAACCTAAAGAGAAATATGAGTACTAGAATTATACACAGTTGCTCAAGCGCATTCGAAAAAAGAACAGGATTCGACCCGAACTTTGATCTCCGAGCTACATTAGGCAACAAAGAAGGAATCCGAATAAAAATGCATTTGTGACCACTCTTCGGCTATAGAAGAAAATGGGGTAAAGAGTAATAAATGGGTCATTCAGATATCGAATACCAGATAGCATTCGGCAACAGAGTTAGAACACTGGATCCAGAAGCCGTTTGATCACAATGAACAGCAAAACACAAGCAGTAACTATTAGTCCTATCTGCCATGTGACAAACAATCTAGCATTTGCGCAGGGCTATCGGTACAGACGGCTGACAAGTTCAACTTCAGCATACTTTCCACTCATGCTCCCGAGCGACGTCGGACTTCGGACACTCCAATCACCCATAATATGCGCAAACGGGTAACAGAAATGTGCTTGGCAAGGCTAAAAAACATTTACTAGCAACAGGGTAACAAGTGCTTGGCAGACAGGCTGATTGATCATAGGAAACCAATAATGATAGCGTGATTTGCATGGTACTTCAGAACAACGGTGCCAAGTGGAACAGTATCGGATTCAAAGAGCCTTGTAACTATAGATTCCGGAACCCCAGGCATTCCTCTAGACTTTTCAGTATTAATTACAAGCTATTGGACCAGTGAACACGTCCGTAACAGCGAACAAACCTACGGACTGTTATTGATTCAACAAGACCGCCTGGGTTATTGATCGACTGAGCAAACATGCACATGAGGTCGTACGGAACTAACAAAAACTTGCTTCGTCTATGCACCACACACGATCACTATGTAGCAAAAGGGCTACTGAGACAAACCGTGGGAACGTAATAAATTTGAAGCAGTGACAACTGAAGAGAACCGGAACCACTGTCACAAGCGACTATGATAAACACAGGTTAAAAAGGAGAGTCAAACGGAAGCAAAACTGTTTCGAAATCGATGCGCTTATGTGACCGGCGTTACATGTTAGCCAGATTGCCTCATTCAGCATAAACGTCCATGGGAGTGATGTAAGCGGTCCTGAATGTCAGTCACTACAGTCTTGCGTTCAATATTTTCAGCCTTATCCAAAGCACCCCAAAGTAGTGTTCAGTTACCGAAGTGTTCACCAAAAGTGCCTTTCACCAGCGTAACGCATATGAAGGTGGATCTTACGAGCTTCTGGTCGCACGTCCTGCGCACTTCTCATGCTACGTAAATTTCACCATTGAGAACGGATTTCGAAGCACCGCGCATATCTCCGTCGAACGTCCTGGTCTAAGGTACCGTGCCGCCTAAATTTATTTAAACTACTGGGATCATACCGTAAGAACAGCAAAACTGAAACGGATAAAAGTTGGTCAATCCATCACGTGTGCAAGTGACGAACGGTTACTGAAATGATCCGGAACACAATTACAGGGTCATACACGGTTTCTGTTAACACTACAACCCTCGTGAATGTAACCGAATGATTTCTGTCCAGAAAAAAGTTCAGCTGTAGCTGCCATGCCACCTAAAGGAAGCATAAGGGCTGGAATGCTGCTAGGTTGCCCAAGCCTAGAGAGGGAAAGTCGAGAGGTAAAGGTCGGGTTCGAACCACAGACCTTCCGGCCAGTAAATCCGCTCTCTAATCACTTGGGCCATCTCTTTCTCTGCCCAAAAAACGACAAAGTCAATCGGCAATCAAACCTAAAAGTTACAAAAATATCACTTTAGTGATTCGGTGCAAACGCATCAAATTATGAAGTAGAACAATGACACTGTTTCACCGAGAGAGGTATAGACGACAACTTCCGGTTGTTTCGACCGGAAACCTATGCGAATCGCTTTGCTGGGTGTGTAGGTGACACTTCATTTCTGCCCCAGAGTAGCTGTGAATCTTGCCTTGGGGTCACAAAAGTTTGCGCTTTTGTAAATTCACTATAATGGTGCAATCCATATGGCCACGGGTGAAAAACTAGAGTTAAAAATCGTCCAACCCAGTGCCTCCATGTGTTCTGCTGGAAATCAGCTCTCGACGATGAGGTGTGAGGCCCTGCGCCTTGTTCAGATATCCCACCATCCTGTCTACTAAATGGAACCGGGCATTTTGACATGATAAGTCAAAATAGTGCTAACGTGTTTGTCAGGTAACCAGAGTCCAGTTCCAAGTACGATCTAGGATGTGCACTTCCGAAGGATCATTTAGACGTGATGCGGGTAAAATGCGTGACCACCCAAAAGCGACCTAGAGGAATTGCATGCCAGACTGGAACAGCACCGACGTTGAAGTAAAAATTGTTGGCCAGAAATGTCCATGCTAACTACTAACACCTTGGTTCCCGTTGTCCAGACCTAAACCATTTTCCGATAATTCGGCCCCGTGCACAGCAGTTTGGTGAATATCACATTCTGAAAGTAATTCCCTTCATGACACGGCGTCCCGGAAATTTCACGACCCATTTCGAACCGCGCGGCTGGTGCGAATAACACGCAAGTGTATTTTTGAAGGCATATTTGCTGGATGACGGAACTTCAGGAACTTTCGACACATCGAAACCCAAGACAATCCTGCGCACACGATGTGACTAGCATACTGATATTGTAGCAGACCCAAATTGCGAAACTGACGACGTGGTCTAGTGTGAAATCCGTATTGGAGCTCTGTTCCAGCTAAAATCATATTTTAGTATCTCTATCCGACCATACAGGATATACTTAATCACATGCTGCGAAAACCCAAATGGCGTTTTATGAAAAAAACTTGCGTCCGGGGTGTGAGCTTTAATCTAAACTTGAAGAAACCTTACAGAAATGGTTTTATTTTAGTGTTGGCTTTTCTTGAAAGGGGGCTACCGTGGTTGATTCTATTAGTTTCTACATCCGGACGGTGTCGGCTGTTTTCAGGTAGGTGAAAGGTCAGACGTTATGGGTAGCGGAAGCACACTGAATGTAACAAATAAAAAGGTTGGGAATGCGGTGGTAATTGGCGCTACCGGTCAGGATGCCGCAATGTTAGAGAACCGAATTTCAGATGCGAAATCGCAGGCAATTGATATCTCGGATTTTAAGGTGGAGCTTCAGAAAAAACTGCTAAAAATGAAATCATTCCGTTCTAGTACCTCATTTGGTGTTTAGATAAAGACCCCTCAGACTATCCTGTACAGTGGCCCACAAATAGGGACTACTGTAAGGACCTGGCCAAAGTGTTCCTTTCTTCGAGGGTGAGGAGTCAGCTGAATACCACGTTTAACGTGAAAATCGAACGAGTTTCAAGGCGAATATCTAACTCTTTTAAAACCCATCGTCTTTTGACATTGTATTTCACTCCATCCCTAAATTATCCCTATTGATACCTATTTCATGCACAATGGAGCACGGAATGCTATCAAAGACACAAATGCCCAGTTCATTCGTGGAATCAAATGGCTATGGACAGACACTTGGCGACTTTTCCCAGGATCTGTAGTTACACGTCATTCACTGTTTCATGTCTGACTGGCGATCTCCAGATTTATCATCATATAATGAACATTACCTATGATAAAGTAGCAAACCTGATCAACCAAAGTTAGCACATCAGTGGTTGTTACTTGTAGCAATGGGCGGATTAACTTTCACAAGCATATCAATGTCTGTATTCGGGTGAGTCAGATCCAAATAACCTCATCTGTTGGTACGTGGGGTTTGTGTATGCTTGAATTTTCATGACAATCGATTTGTATTTAGCTTAAAGGATAGTTACTGCTAAAAGCGGAGCATTATTAGAACATTATTGAGCATGATTCATCAGCAATAAGCCCTTACAGAAGAACTAGGCTTAATTGGTATCATTTTGCTAGGAAAGGCATTTGTGGACAATTATCCACTTTAGCTTTACCAGTGTGATTGAAGCGCAAAATACTCTACGAAGTAACCTTATGAAAGAACCGAGTGAAAGGTCGATTGAATTACAAAACGTTGTATTTGTTCTAGACAGTACTATAACTTTTATGTGGGTACCCAGTAACAGTTCCACATTAACACAGCAGTGTCCTGGGACTTTTTTTTACTGAACTAAATGTCTTCCACTTCACATTTGGGGAGCAGAAATAGTTTGTTTTCTACGAACTAATCACCTGGTGACCTGTCCCCTTCAGCCGAGCCTTCAACGGACAAAAGAGCTCACCACACTGGTAGGCGTTCGTCACGTCGACTAGGAAGACTAAACTAGACACTGATAAACTCAACCCCATGGTGGTACATCTAATGATTGGTCGCGTTACGCACAAACCACAGGACCGCGCGTTGGCACGGGAAAATCGGTTATTAAGACCAATAGACGGTATCAGGAATGTGCACCAGAGGCAACCGGCGAAACCAATCCTAGCTCTCCACAGCTAGATAGAAATCAACCGTCATATCAAATGTCCGCATTTCCAAATTTATGAAGAAAGATGGTCCCCGTTAAGAGTAGTCGAACCAAAATCACCAGTCCTTTTGGGTGGACTTGGCGCTTTTCCCACCGACCCAAAGCGAATCCCCTAAAGTGACCGATTCCGGTAGAACGAATTGCAAGATGATTGTATACATGAACATTTTTCATGCTATGAGTATCTGTTTGAAGTGTTTCAAGCGGATGACTAGCCTGGAAGCGATGAAAAGCGAGCATTCTCTGAATAAAATTCAAACAGTGGAAGTGAAACTTGATGTGCAGTCAGTTGCTCATGGTAAGAGCACCCTTCGTTAACACACCAGTCTTGTTTTCTGTCTTGGCTCGCTATAGGCTAAGTGATTGATCAGTTAAGCAATTCGATATTAAAATCATATACTTCAAGGGACACATTGTGTCAAACAGAATTTCCACTTTCATTAAAAAGTCGGATAACGTTTGCGCGGAGTACCAGTTAATCTTATTATTAGTATATATAGACAGAACTAATCGATGAACTAAAACTCATTCTGGTATGTGTTGCAACCAATAAAAATGTCACCAAAATTTGATACTAGTGAAAGCACCTGTTAATTCCGGCAAAATACGCGAACCAGATGTCACAGGGACAGCTGAAGTTTGCGGACGAACGGCGTTGCCACTGGAGTTGGAAACGCCCAATGAATGAGACAGCAAGGAAGACCGGAAGTGAATAGGTGGTTTGCATTCCGGCGTTGACAGCAGTGAGCATGAGGATTTGCCAACAAGTGTGGGAGCTTCTCGCGACTGGCAAGAGGTGGAAGAAGACAGTGGTCTGAGAACTGAATAAAAGGATCGGCGATTTCGATCACGAGGAAGTGGGGAAAGAGGAGCTGGGATCGACCTTGTGAACTGATTGTCAGACGAAACAGTTGATGGGATCCGTGCCACGGCAGAGGACTGAACACCTGAATCAGTTGGTTCTGTAGTGAAATCTTGTTGTGACGAACGAAGCAAGGAAAGAAACTTTGGAGGGGTAACTGTGGCGAAACGTCGTCGTCGCGGATTTGAAACCTGAGAGGGTTCTGGTGAGCTGATCAGAAGAGAATATGGGGTGGATATGAATGGTTACGTAAACGCTACGAAGATGGGGCATACAGAGAGACAATCTCAGCCGATTCAATAATAATCGAAAAGTCGAGACCGGATTCATGGAAAGAACCCTTAAGTAGCAAGATTGTATCTCTGAGCGATCTCAACAGAACGGGAAGTGCGTTCAAAAGGCTACAAGGACAAGAGAATGAGGATTAGTTTACGCCTTCCAGCAAAACATTCACGCTTTTAAAGAGACTGCAAAGTTAAAGGATGCATCGAACCCGGCGGCATACAACACAGACCACTAGCCGAAGTGGATTTGACATCTACTGGAAGACAAACTGGCCTCATCAGTATCGGAGTTAGAGATGAAATAATATTATTCATCACAAACAACAGAACTTAAAAAGTGCCGCCGCTCTGAATGTTTAGGTATACTGAAAGTAGTTCTCCGAAGATTCCATGGCTAGGATGCAGTCTGGCCATGATTTTATTCAAGTCATGAGACGCGGGTCCAATTCTACTCTATCATTCGTTTCTTTGGGGGGAAAGAAGAGGACGGATGACCGAGAATGCCCGTATAACGAATTCGATGTGGTGGCAGCCCTGAGCCACTAGGGACTAAAGACGGGTAGCTCTGTCCGAAGCGTTTTTACTTCCTAGGACTGCTAAACACAGTGAATATTTTCTTCATAACTAAGTAGGCGTTTATTTCTACTTCAGTTCACAAACAGGGTACACTTTGAAACAAAATAAAGGTTGGAAAAGGTTTGGGACTGACTAAGAAGCCATCGTTTTAGCAGGATTTTGTGGACAACCGGCAGTTTTTTTGTTTGGAATGCTGTGTGGTAAAAACCCTCCTGGGGTGAGCTGAGAATGAAGTACTTGACTTCAGTCAAATTAATTATTGCCGCAATATTCAAATGAACTAAAAGGGAATATAATGCTGAATTCCTAGAACAGACGAATCGTTTGTAGAACTAAAAAAAAACAAAAAAAAACATGGCAGTTATTTGCCGGTGTTCTTATTTTTTGATAGTGAATGCTGTCCAAAAGTACCATGTCTAAAGTACCATGAACAACTTTTCGTTGTATATGACCAACTAAGTACGGATAAAAAGTGGCACAGAGCAGTCGAAAATTTCGATACGTTTTCCAGCGTCCTAAAATCACTGCAACTTCTCCGTACTGACTATGTCGCTTCGGATTCACTCCACGTCAAATGCAAAGCACAGTATGCTATTCATCAGAAAACTAGAAAATCTACATTTCATGAGCAAGATAAAGTTAGAAAGTATCGCTGCCGTAAATTTTTCGTATCAATATTCAAGTGCTGATTTGAATGACAGAGCGCATATGGTATTTCCGATAAGAAGAATTCCTGCTTGGTCGTGCGAGAAAAATTGACCGCATCGGTCCAAATAGGTTGTTGAGGTGTTTGGAAGGACATCTGGGCTAGTGAAGTACGGCAGAATCTGCCCAGGGAAGAAAACGCAGGTTTGTCCAATCCTCGAAATGACGAGTGAAGAGGTATAACCGAGAGGGCTGTTACTGACACTCAATGAGCGCCACAGTAAAATAATTCAAAAATAGGGTGGTAGTTTGTTGTCCGGATAATTACACACTATAGTCGCAGTCAACATAAGTTGGTACACTCCTTCAGAAACCCACCAAACAAAGAATTTGGGAAGAAACATTCAGAACAATGTGATTGTACGTTGAGGAAATGAGGGAATCAGGCAGAACATGTGTATACTTAAAAAATGCACACAAGAGCAAGCAACTAGTCGACCACTACGAAAAAGATGAAATTTCACAATCAACAAACATAGGAAATAGAACCGACTGTAGTCATCAGAGAACAGTCCAGAAAGCTTTACTTTGAAGGTAGCTCCTCTGGAAGAAATAACATTTTTCCACACCGTAAGAAAAAATTCGTTCCTGATGACAGCAGGAAACAGTGGAGCTGGTGTATCAACCTTGTGAATCCTATCAAGATCGCGTAATGCCTATTCATAAAGACCAATTGTATCGTTCACAGAAAACTCCATAATTGTAGATAGAAAAGCTTTTCCAAAAACGTCATATTCGTACAAATGCCATCTCAGAAATGGCCACAGAGTGGCCGTCGGGTTAATCCTTGCTTTCGATTAATTCAGTCGCTTTTTTAGGTTGTCCCAAAGAGACATCTTGGTATGACGACTTGTACACTTCAAGGGCCCATTGGGCTATACTAGAAAATTATCCTTGTGACACCGGTAGTCCATTGGGCCAGGAGAGTAAATAGGCGAAGGACTGACTAACGGTCCCCCGGCCCTCCGGGTTCGAGTGTTGAAAGTGATATAGCGAATCGTTCCCTAAAATTTGGATCGCTTTCGATTGGGTCCACTTACAGGACGAGATCCTCATTAGAAATTCCCAAATCTTATCACACTACCAACAATCTATAAGTAGCTCAGAAGAAGAATAAAATTCACCCAGCGGATGAAACTGTAAAATTGTCCCTCGAAGGACCAGTCACCGCATGTGACTACGTAAACGATCACCCTTCCAGGGTAAGAGAAGCCTCAACGAAAAAGACGAAAGCGCTCAACTTTGAATGTCGATATCAATAGCGAAGTGAGCCGAGAAAACCATTTACCTTGGAGACAATCCTGTCATGAGGCGCGAAACAACTTCGCGAAAGAACTGATCTAAAGGGGACTATTCAAAAAACCTTGTGAAGAAAGGAAACTGAGTAAATAGAACTTGCACCTTTAACGTTCTCACAATAGAATTTCGTGGCACGGGGAATTGTGGAGTGCGTTTTTCGGGACTTAAGTTGCCTTAGCAAGACACCACTTTCACAAAAAAATTTCACGGGTCTCTCGCAAAACCAAATTTGTTTCCAAATTAGTGTATTTATCTAATTTCGTGCAATTTGGTTTCAAGTAGAACATAAAGTTGACAGAAACTCGGGGACTGAGCTTACCTAATGAGCCCTGAGAAGGGCGAAACCGGTCGTGGGTTGTCGAGGAATTTTCATCAACCTAGTGAGTAGTGTTTTACCTTCAAGAGTCCACAAAGGTGGATATAGAAATACCACACGAGTGAATGTCTATGGTTTACAAGTTGGTTACTCATCAATTAGATTTGCTTCAGTAGTGTTGCGATCTGCCTTCAAGCTTTCTGTGCTTATTCGTGCTCAGTCTTGTGATTTCCGTAATGGTCCCCAAGTTGGTTAGGCAAACGAAGAAGCCTATCGTCACAAGCCAGAAGACACGCGGAACACGTGACACCCCCCTCAGAAAAATGAATTCGCGCACGTGTTCAACCTTCCATAAGTTTTTGTGACTAGCTCGGCGCTTGCGCGACAAGGATTTCAATACGATCGTCTTTCAGGGCAAAGGATTGCATTTACGCATCCGCTTTCATACAGTGTATAAAAAGAAACTCGAACTAAGTAATTCGAGCTCACGAAATTCACGTCTGTTCATTCCGGTCGATCATGCAAATGTGCTTCGACGTACCAACGAAAGCGTCTAAGTAAGGTTAACGTTTCCAGCTGTGGAAGGGAACTCGAGATGTGGAGTAACATAAGTCAACTGCACGTAGAAGTTCACAGCCACAGCGCGTGTACACGGAAAATGCATCTTCTTATTGCACAGAGGCATGTTTGATAAGGAAGCATAGTAGAAGTGTTGGTGTTAACAAGCGTTGTCATAACAATGAGTGTCTGGCGGTTAAAGTAGTTCTGGTCAATATGTTTCGCGAACGAAGGACAAACTGCTCACAGTAATAAATATCTCGGCGGTCAGCCCGGTTGACAACGGCTTTCCCATTTCGCTAATTCAACTAAGCTATGAACCATGTAACACGACTACGCTGGTTCTAGCTGCTAGTTTCAGTCACCCGAAAACGTGAGATATAGCGAAGTAGTGAAGACTGCGACATAAGCAGGTGATTTGAACTGAAGAAGTTTAGTTATTTGGAGGAACAGGAAACTTGGTAGCCATGCATTGAAGCTCTGATGCACGAACGCCACTGACTGCGCGATTGAGCCACGTATGCGAGTGCCAATAACAGAGTTCCGCGGACCTCGTCCATAAAGGCGGTAGTTCTCAACCCAAATTTGCTGGTCAGTGCTATCATACTGTGTTTCCAGGTCATTGACTGTCCACCTCTTGGTGGTTTTGAATCACAGCAGGGTTAGGTGGAGTTGTGTAAAAAAAAAAAGGCGGTCACTTGGCATTCGAATAACACCCTAACCAGCGTGAGTAGTTCATCCATGACAAGATAATTCGCTCGACCTTAAACCATCTGACGTACTTCAGCGTTGCTAATCCGATATTCCAGCCCGGTAATGCTTGGAGACACTGATGGTCGCAATGAGTGTTTCCGCCCATCCTCTGCGCGTGGAGACCGCGTTTCCGGTCGCTGCCCACTATCCGTACATATTAACTATGCTTCTTCCTGGCTTCACTATTCAACCTAGGCGTTCATATCACCACCCAAGATAACACCTGTTCTTCTTCCTGAGAGAAACAGCCATGACAAATCTTGATAAAACCCTTCGTTCTCAGCTCCGGAACTGCTATCTGTAGGGGTATTTTACAACTTGATAAACAGACGCTGTTTAACGCATCGATCTACATTGATCTTAATTGAACCAGACAACAGTATAGTGCAATAACTGACTGCTGAGACCCATCCCAATAAAACTCCTTCAGCCCTGGAAGTGAGTGCAACTCCCACACCATAGATACCACGAGTCATTGTATTATGACCACCGGAGAGTGGAACGTGAAATATCTGAGCACGTCCTAAACGGCTTGGGGTACAGTGCCGAAGTATACGTGTTTCGGAGGAAGCGATAACTGTTGTCCAGTGTGTCAAATATTACACTGAAGGCTACAATGTGGATCGAATCCTTTGAGTTTAGTGAGGGCTTATTTTGGTTTATTTCGCAGGGCGGCGGTTTGGACGGATTGACCACAGTATGTCATTGGATGAGTGGGG